TCTTCCTCTTTTTCACTGACCTTCTACTTTACCAAGCATGATGCTCTTGTCTAGGGACTGCGCCCTCCTGATTGTAACCAATGTTGTATGTCAAAAGTACATAAGGGGAAAATCTCACCAGCCTCACTTTTTAAGGAGCATTCTAGCTATACTTCTTCCAAGACAGATTTGTTTGTTCTGGCCATCCATGGTATATTCAATATTCATCACCAGTACCATAATTCAAAAGAATCAGTTTTTCTCCAGTCTTCCCTTTTCATTATCTAACTTCTGAATGTGCACAAGGCCGTGGTTTGGGTCAGGCACATTTTAGTTGGGAAAATCTTCAATTTCTTCATTGTCTTTCATGATTGTTGCATACATTTGAATACTAGTTTTCTGTGTGTCCCATATGAATATTTTCCTATCATAAACAGCATTATAATTCAAGATAGATATTGAAATGTTCTTTTTTTTTAATGTTTTATTGTGAATTATATGATAGTTTACATGGGAGAACATTAGTTTTACATTCATTCTATTGTATATTGTTTCATTGCCATGGTTACAGTCCTCTCCATGCATCATCAACCAGCCAAAAGGTATACCCTGCAAGCCTGCCCCCTGCACTCCCCCCCCCCAGTCTTCAGCACACAGTCGCTCTCTCTCTCTGGATCTAAAGTCTCCAGCTGCTTCATCACTCCACGTCATCGTCTCTGCCTCCATCTCAGGCATCTGCTCTTCTCTGTTGATGGTCCTAGGGACCTCCACCCCTAGACTGGAAAATTAATCACTGCCTTCCTTGCTACCTTTACATTTCCAACCCTCACAATCAGTCCTGATAACAATTATTCACTATTGTATCACAAGAGACCCATCTGCATGAAATGTTCTTTTTTGATGATGAATGTGACACCATTCCTTTTCAATTTGTCATTCCTGGCCTAGTAAACCATATGACTGTCCACTTAAAAATGCTAAATATTAGTCCATTTCAGCTCACTAATGCCTAGGATGGAGTCCTAATATGGTGCTGTAAGATAGTATAGTATTATAATGAAATGTGCAAAGACCTGGAGTTAGTAAATCAAAAGGGAAGAACATATCCCACATTTCTCAAGCTGTAAGAACCGAAGAAGAACTGAAGTCTAGACTTACAAGATTGAAGGACTACATGGGCAAAATACTGACTAATGATGCATCAAAAGAAGATGGAAGCATGAAGACAGAGATGATGATGTGGACAGATGGAGTGGCTGGGGACATGGGACTCAGGGAGGGAGAGGGGCTGTGTGCTGACAGCCAGCGGGGCAGGCCTGTGGGGTGTATCCTTTGGTTATTTGATGATGCATGGAGGGAATTGTCATCATTGCAATGAAAGGAAATGCAATAGGATGCATGTGAAGCTGATGCTCTCCCATGTAAACCCACATAATTCACAATTAAAAAAAGAAGAAGATGGAAGGAATACAAAGAGTCACTGTACCAAAAAGAAATGGTGTTGAAGGAAGAAATCCAATTTGCACTGAAGACAGTGGTGCATTAGTGACTTATCCCTCAGAAGTGGACTACTTTCTCCTTCTTCTTAGTCTATCATTGTCTGGAAGCTCCACTGAAGCCTGTCCACCATGGGTGACCCTGCTGGCCTTTAAAATACAGGTGGCACAGCCTCCAGCCTCACAGCAACATGCCAGCCCCCACGTTAGGACCAGCTGACACGTAGTGGGTCTAATGACTGTTGTTGTTAGGAGCTGTCCAGTTAACTCTGATTCATTCATATCGACCCCTGTGCACAACAAAACAAAACACTGCCAAGGCCCGCACCATCCTCACAACTGTTGCTATGTTTGAGCCCATTGTTGGAACCACTTTGTCAATCCATTTCATTGGGGTCTTCCTCGTTTTCACGGACTCTCCACTTTGCCAAGAATGATGTCCTTTTCTAAGGATTGGTCCCTTCTGATCAAATGTCCAAAGTACATGAGATGAAGTCACACCATACTCACTTCTAAGGAACATTCTAACTATTCTTCTTCCAAGACAGATTTGCTTGTTCTTTTGGTGGTTCATGGTACTTTCAGTATTCTTCACCAACACCATAATTCAAATGAATTGATTCTTCAAACTTCTTCTTCGTTCATTGTCAAATTTTCACATGCATATGAGGCCATTGAAAATACCTTGGCTTGGGTCAAGCACACCTTATTCCTCAAAGTGACATTTCTGCTCTTTAATACTTTCAAGAGGTCTTTTGCAGAAGATTGGCCCAATGCAGCAAGTCATTTGATTTCTTGACTACTCCTTCCATGAGTGTTGATTGGGGATCCAAGTGAAAAAAAAAATCTTTGGCAACGTTAATATTTTATCCATTTAAATTTAGCCAATTGTCCCACTGATGTCTTCTTTTCCCTGATCCAGGGTCTAACTCAGGCTTACAGGTTATATTGAGTTTTCATGCCTCTTATGTCTCCTTTAATCTGAAAGAATTTTCCAGTCTGTTTCCTGTTGTCATTTCTGATTTATTATATAATTTTTACATAGCAAAACATATTGTTTTAAAAATATATCCTTAACTGTTTGTGAGGGTTGTAAGTGTAAAGGTAGACGTTTTGTAGCAAGGAGGGGAGTGATTAACTTTTTAGCCTAGGAACGGCGATCCCTGGGACCATCAAGGGAAAAGAGCATAGAGCAGGACCCTACCCAGAGAAGCAGTGATGCCAGAGATGGAGGCAGAGACGATGACGTGGAGAGATGGAGTGGCTGGGGACTTTAGACCCAGAGAGGGAGAGGGGCTGTGTGCTGATGACTGAGGGGCAGGCTTGCAGGGTATACCCTTTGGTTGCTTAATGATGCATGGAGGGATTGTAATCATGGCAATGAAACGATATACGATAGAGTGCCAATTGAGGGATGTCTTAATTCTTGAGTGCTGCTATAACAAAAATCCTCACCACTGGACCAATAAATAACATCAAGATAAATGGAGAGTACAGTCCAGAAACAGAGGACTCTAGGACCATCAAGGGAGAAGAGCACAAGCAGAATGTGGGACCTTATCCAGAGAAACAGCAACACCAGAGATGGAGGCAGAGATAGGGACATGGAGAGGGGGAGCTGCTGAGGACTCTAGATTCATGGGAAGAGAGGAACTAAAAGCTGGAGGCCAGGAGGCAGACTTGCAGACTGTGCCCTTTGGTGATGTAAATTATTATATATGCTTGAGGGTTTAAAAACAAAAACCAACAAAGAGGTAAAGTGAATAGAGAGAAATACTGTTATCTGATGGTACATGGAGGGGATTATAATCATTGTAGTGAAACAAGGTGTATGATTTGTTGAATGTAAAACTGATGGTCTGTCCTGTAAATTTTCTCTTAATCCACAATAAAAACTTAAAAAAAAAAATAAATGGAGAACAGATTAAAGTCATCAAAGACTTCATTTTGCTCAGATCAACATTCATGAAAGCCACAGTCAAGAAATCAAAGGACATATTGCATTACACAAATCTCCTGCACAAAACTTCTTTGAAGTATTCAAGTGCAAAGATGTCAGTTTGAGGAGTGAGGTATGCCTGACCCAAGCCATGGTATTTTCAGTGGCCTCAAATGCATGTGAAAGTTGGAAAATGAATAAGGAAGACCATAGAAGAGTTGATGCATTTGAGTTTTGGTGCTGGAAAATAATGTTAAAAATACTATGAATTGCCAAACAATTCTGTGTTGGAAAAAGTACAACCAGAATGTTCTGTAGAAGCCAGGATGGCCAGACTTCATCTCTCATACTTTGGGCATGTTATCAGGAGGGAATGAATCCCTGGAAAAGGACATCTTGCTTGGTAAAGTGGAGAGTCAGTGAAAAAGAGGAAGACCCCCAATGAGAAGGACTGGCACCATGGCAGCAGCAATAGGTTCAAGAGTAGCAACGATTGTGAGGTTGGTACAGGACCGGGCAGTGTTTCATTCTGTTCTACATAGGTCTCTGTGAGTTGGTAACAATTCGACGGCACCTAACAATAACAACGTAACAGAAGTACCACAAGTGGATGGTACAAGCAAGTTTATTCTCTCACAGTTTAGGAGTCTAGATGTTTTAATTCAGTGTCCCAGCCACAGGGAAAGGCTTTTTCTCTGTGTTGGCTCTGGGAGAAGGTCCTTATCATCAATCTTTCCCTGGGTCTAGGAGTTTCTCATCACAGAGACCCCAGGTCCAAAGGACAAGTTCTACTCCTGGCTCTTCTTTCTGAGTGATAGTAGGTCCCTCTGATCTATCTCAAAAGAGATTTACTCGATACAACACGAGTCTGTAGATTGCATCCTTCCTCATTAACATAACTGCCACTAATCCTGCCTCATTAACATCATTGTTGTTAAGTGCCACTGAGTCTGTTATGACCCAAAGCGACCTGTATAGAATTTCCAAAGAGCCACTGATGGGTTTGAACTGCCAGCGGTCCAAGATTTCACATTCACATCATTTGTTAAGTGACATTGAGTCAGTTGCAACTCATAGTGACCATAGGATTTCCAAGGAGTGGCTGGTAAATTTGAACCACTAACCTTGCAGGTCAAACTGATCTTTCAGTCCAGTGCAATAAGCCACAGCACCACATCAGGACTACTATTAACATCATAGAATACTTACACGAGATCACAAAATGGAGGATTCTCACATGATGCAGAGAATTGTGGCCTAGCCAAGTTGACACGTATCTTAAAGGGCCACAGTTCAACCCAAAATAAGAGACGACACACCCAGGTGACTGGCTCGGGCCACTGGGTGGTTGATAGTGCCCTTATCCTGACATGGGGATCGCTAGAAGAGAATTGAGTTTAACCGATTGTCCCCACCTCTTCTCCTTTCAGGATTTTCTGCAAAAGAGCAATGATCAGATTGCACAGATTGTCCAGCTGGTGCGTGGGAAGCTGAGCAGTGGGGCTCGGCTCACTCTCGGGGCCCTCACAGTCATCGATGTCCATGGTAAGCAAAGAGACTTCCCTTGGAGTTACTGACTGTCCAGGAACAATGGCCAGACATACCCCTTTTCCTTCTCCTGGATGGAATGATTTGGGGTATCCTGACTTCTCCAACTGAGAGCAAGGTGAAGAAGTCAGGAGAGAAACCAACATTTGCACAGGAGTTTTGTGCACTCCGTTTAATATCCCACTTCCCTAACTCCAGTAATATGTTAAGGAACCCTCCAAGCAGACCTCTTGCTGAGAACATAATGACCAGAATCTGTTCTGAGATTCACCAACTTGGAGTAATTTCCTTGGGCTAACAATAGCTAATATTTTTGAACACTCACTGGTGCTAGGCTTTTGTGCTGAGTGTTCAACATGTCTTATCTCATTTTCATTTCACAGATTAGGGACCTGAGACACAAAGAGGTAAATAACTTGCTGAGAGGCACACAGGTAGTAAATAGGTTCTTTCATAATTTCAAATTTCTGTCTTTATGATTTCCAACACAAGGGGCGGGAAATGGGCAGCAACGCAGAGAGGCAGTGGGTGAGGGAAGATGTCTTCCAGTTCTTCCTTAAAGATAAAAAGAAGTAAAAGAAGAACTGATGTCTTTATATAAAACAAACCACCCCCACACCTCCCCTGCATCATCACAAAAGAAACTAGGCTGGACCAGGCTGGTTGCCTGGCAACAGTGTCTCTTGCTCACGCATCTAGTTTCCTTCTGACAATTCCTTAGCACTCTTCCTCAAAGTTGATGCTCATTTCAGTCGGATTTCATCTGGATAGACTAGCATAAAATCAGGGAGAGAGAAGCAATAATGTGGTCTTCTACATAGCTGGTAAGCACGATAAGTACAGATGTGGTTACTATCCACGGTCCCCCAGACTCATTAGATTCCCACAGTGAGAGCATGTGCACACACATACACACACAGATGGAGCATAGAAATGGTATCCCCAACTTAGTTCCATTGATATTCACCTTTGTCCTGGTCTCTCATGCAGACCCCTCCTCTCAATACCAAAAACAGTTCAATTCCTCAGGAAAGAAGGAAGTGCTGTTTGGGTGTAATCTCCTTCAAGGACTCTTCTCTGCCAACTTTTGGATTTTATTGTTAAGAGGGAGATGGCTCTTCCTGAGAAACAGTAGACTTTCTGAAGGGTCCCTTCACAAAATTTCTGGACTCCATAGTTCTTAGCTAGTTATCTGAGCGCCCTGAAAAAAAACAACCAAAAATGAACCTCATAAGCCTATGTCCACTCTCTGATTACAAGTCGGACTGCTAACCTCAAGGTCAACGGTTCAAAATTACCAGCCATTCAATGGGAGAAAGATGAGACTTTCTGGTCCCGTAAAGATTGACAACCTCAGAAACCCTATGCAGTGTCGCTATGAGTCAGGACTGACTCCATGGCACATAATCACCAACCACCACCATGTTCACTCTCCGACTTAAGGACCACCATTACTACAAGAAAATTTAATTGAACTCACAATCCTTTGAGAGAAAGACAAAATCTAGAAGTGTATCACCTAGCTGGGTTTCAGGCCCCAGAGAAAAAAATATATCTAACGTGAATTCATGGGGTCCTTCCCTTACTAACGATGGCAGGCCAAGCTGATTGTTTTCTCCTAGGATATCTTAGAAGTCTGGAACAAGGCCAAAGAGGTCATAGTGGGGATATGGTAGCATTTGGAGAAACTATATATTGCCAAGAACTTGGAGTCCTGATGTGGCATTGTGGGTTAATGCGCTGGACTGCAGAGTCACCAACCGCTCCTTGAATACCCTGTACAGGATCGCTATGGGTTGGAACCGACTCGATGGCACTTAACAACAGTAACTGTGTAATAGAGGTTAATACTTACATAACGCTATGTGTGAAGCACGGTTTAATTTTACATATATATATGTAATATATACATATATGTAAATATATAATATATATAAGTGGATTAAGAGAGAATGCACTCTGGTAATGCAATGTTTAAGTGCTCAACTGCTAAGTAAAAGGTCGATGGTTCCAATCCATCAGCTGCTCTGTGGGAGAAAAGACCCATTGATTTGCTCCCATAAAGATTGTTGTTAAGTGCCGTCAACTCGGTTCCAACTCATAGCTACCATGTATAGGGTTTCCAAGGAGCCACTGGTGAGTTTGAACTACTGACCTTGTGTCAAGCACTATCCTACAGCACCATGCCAGGACCCCATAAATATTATAGCCTGGGAAATGCTATGGAGCTGTTCCACTCTGTCTTTTAGGGTCACTGTAAGTCAGAATCAACTTGATGGTATACAACAACACATAGATATACATTCAATATGTATATATATATATGTATGTTGTTATTGTTAAGTGCCGTCGAGTCGAATTCAACCCATAGCGACCCTGTATAGGGTTTCCAAGGAGCAGCTGGTGAGCTTGAAGCACCAACCTTGTAGTTCAAACGACTTTGCAGTCTGACACATTAGCCCACAGCACCACACCAGGACTACATAACTAACTCCATATATGCATATATATATTTTTTTTTCATAGTAATCTTATAAGACACATGTTATGTTATAACCACTTTATCGATTATTCAACTGAAAGACAGAGGTTAAGGAACTTGCCCAAAGTTACCTAGCTAGTTAAAGATGGAGCCAAAATTTGGACCTAGAAAATCTGAGTTTAGAGCTTATGGTTTTAATGCCTCTGCTATACTGAGGTAATCTCAGTGTGGCACTGTAGGATAAGCAATGGACTGCTAAATGCAAGATCAGTAGTTCAGAGCCACCAGCCACTCCTCGGTAGCCCTATACAGGGTCACTGTGAGTCAGAACCAACTCAATGGCACTGAACAACTCTACTGAGAGAATGCAGTTCAGCAGATTCTCCATCTGCTTCCTCGGGAAGAAGAAAAAGACGCCTCCCTGCGTGTTAGGGATGGAGAAGGCCAGTAGTTGAGCATAAAACTGGAGCATGAGCAGTGGCCGTGATACCTTCCATAGAATTCTTCCAACTGAGGAATTTCTAGAGATGGGAGGATTCTGGTTGCTGCACATGTGTGTGTTAACATGTCTGTGTCCCAACAGCTCGTGATGTGGTAGCCAAGTTATCTGAGGACAAGATTTCTGATCTGAATGACTTCCAGTGGATCTCCCAGCTGCGCTACTACTGGGAGGCCAAGGATGTGAAGGTGCAGATGATAACAACCGAAGTCTTGTATGGTTATGAGTACCTGGGCAACTCCCCTCGACTGGTCATCACTCCCCTCACTGACCGTTGCTACAGGTAAATGCTGGGGCTCCTCCAGAACTGAAGGGTGACTAGAGACGAGCTCCAGAGGGTTAGAATCTGGGAGGGGGGTTCAGGATGTCTTGTGTTCATTATCTTTACTCTACCTTTAGGGTCTCAAATTTTTAGCACTTTACTGAGTCCACATGACCCCAAAGATGATGACAGAAACTTGGCCTTCAGGGTAGAAATGAGAACCCAGTAGAAGTCCCAGTGCAAATTAATACATCTGTAACAACAAGGGGATGTGACTGTGTAGGATAAGCACCAGACTACTAACCATGAGGCCCATGGTTTAAGCCTATCAGCTACTCTCAGGAGAATGATGAGGTTTTCTGAACCCATAAAGATTTACAAGCCTCAGAAACCCTGTGTCAGGTGGTTATGAGTCAGAACCAACTCGACAACACTAAACAACATCATTGAAACTGATATGGTGCTTAAATGGAGAGCTCTTCACTAGTGGGACTCAAGATGGCACCTGCAGACGCCAATGCCAAGATATAGATGTGAAGTCAGATAACGAATCCAGGCAGAAATTCTCTAATCTGTGTCCTCCAACCTGGGGTCAGCAGGCCGCCTGATAAAGAGACACTGCCGTCCTGAGCTCGGCAAAGGGGTCTACAGCTCTGCTTGGAATTCCTAACATCAGAAATCTCGATTTTGTGAACTTGTCGGTTTTGTCATGCTTACGTTTTCTTTTCTTTTGTATATTTCCTTACCATCTTTGGAATCTTTTTATTGCCCTCTGCTTTTCTGAACTTCACTGTTACTGCTGTTTGCAATCTTTTTAAATTATAAAAATCATACTTGAATATTTCTTTTCAGAATACTTGATCACCTGGTTTCTATATCCTTTAGGTTTTGCTCTGTTTTCATTCATTTATTCCACTTGTTACTTAACAAACATTTATTTACGCTTTCTGTGCACCATGCATGGCCCCAAAAGACGCTGTCATCGAGTCAATTCTGACTCCTAGCCCTGCTGAATAGGACAGAGAAGAACCCTAAAGAGTTCGGAGACTGTAGCTCTTTATAGGTATAAACAGTCTCATCTTTCTCCCTCAGCATAACTGGTGGGGTTTGAACTGCTGACCTTATAGTTAGCATCCTAATACTTAGCCCATATCACCACCAGGTCCCCAAGGAACCCTTAATCTGCTGGAGAAGAGACACACCACTGATTTCAACAAAGTGTATGCTCACTGAAATCATAGATGCTCACACAGGCACTGTAGAACAACAGTTACCACATTGTTCATTGATTAATATTTATGTTGTATCTAACAAGTACCAATGCTATTATAGTTTGCTGAGGATATGAAATTGAACCAAAAAACCATTTCTGAACTCATAATCTTGTGGGAGAAATATGTTCACCACTCCATTGTTGTTGTTGTTGTTAGGTGCCATCAAGTCGGTACTGACTTATAACGACCTTATGCACAGCAGAACAAAACACTGCCTGATCCTGGGCCAACCTCACTATCGATGCCACACTTGAGCCCATCACTGCCGCCACTGTGCCAATTCATCTCATTGGGGGTCTTCCTCTTTTTCTCTGACCCTCCACCCTACCAAACATGATATCCTTCTCCAGTGACTGGTCCCTCCTGACAATGTGTCCGAAGTATGAGAGACGAAGTCTGGCCATCCTAGCCTCCAAGGAGCACTCTGGCTGCGCTTCTTCCAACACAGATCTGTTTGTTCCTTTGGCAGCCCATGGCACTTTCAATATTCTCCTCCAGCACCATAACTCAAAGGCATCAATTCTTCTACGGTCTTCCTTATTTACCGTCCAGCTTTCACATGCATATGAGGTTATTGGCACTGGTTATCTTTGGAATGTGGAGTTCATGAGAATTTTTTGCTTTTATTTGACTCATTTATGTAGGAATATATGAGTACAGATTGACATTTACTGATGAAGATCAAAGAGCACAGCTTTCGGTGTGAATTACATCTCAATGTAAAGAAAACAAAAATCCTCACCACTGGACCAATAAACAACATTCTTATCAAAGGAGAAAAGATTGAAGTTGTCAAGGACTTCATTCTTCTTGGATCAACTATCAACACGCACAGAAGCAGCAGTCAAGAAATCAAACGACGTATTGCATTAGGCAAATCTGCTGCATAAGACCTTTTTAAAGTGTTGAAGAGCTAAGATGTCAGCTTGAGGACTAAGGTGTGCCTGACCTAAGCCATGGTATTTTCAGTAACCTCATATGCATGCGAAAGCTGGACAGTGAATAAGGAAGACCATAGAAGAAATCATGCTTTTGAGTTATGGTGTTGGAGGAGAATATTGAAAGTGCCATGGACTTCCAAAAGAACCAGTAGATCCATGTTGGAAGAAGTGCAGCCAGAGTGCTCCTTGGAGGCCAGGATGGCCAAACTTCATCTCTCATACTTTAGACATATTGTTAGAAAGGACCAGTCACTGGAGAAGGATATCATGATTGGTAAGGTGGAGGGTCAGAGAAAAAGAGGAAGACCCCCAACGAGATGGATTGGCCAAGTGGCAGCATCAATGGACTCAAGCATGGCAACAGTAGTGAAGTTGGCCCAGGATCGGGCAGTGTTTCGTTCTGCTGTGCATAAGGTCTCTATGAGTCAGTACTGACTCGATGGCACCTAACAACAACATTGGCTATCAGGAGTTCTGGTAGTGTAGTGGTTACAAATCGGGCTGCGAACCTTAAGGTCAGCTGTTTGAAACTACCAGCTGTTCCATGGGAGAAAGATGATGCTTTCTGCTCCCATAAAGATTTACAGCCTCAGAAACCCTGTGCAGGGTTGATATGGGTCGGAGCCAACTCCACGTACATAACAACAACAATAACAATTGGCTATATAGTCAGGAGAAATTTTTTTAACTATTTATATGAGTCATAAATGCAAAAGAAAGTCCCCAAACCCAGATTCTTTCTTCCAGTTTCTTTTCTGTATCTTAGGCCTCAGGCACTGAATTCTTGGTATGTTTTTCCCCCTTTAGAACATTAATGGGAGCTTTGAAGCTGAACCTTGGGGGTGCTCCAGAGGGTCCAGCTGGGACAGGCAAGACAGAGACCACCAAAGATCTGGCCAAAGCTTTGGCCAAGCAGGTAGGGAAAACACCATCTACTCCTGCCTCTCTTCCCACTCGTCTCTGGAAGTTAGTGTGAGGAAGGTCAGGTGGTTTTGTGTCACAGGGAGAGTAGCACTCCAGCTCCTCTGGTTGGACAGGAAGGGAGGAGTCCCTGCACTGTTTCCTGGTGCAGGATGGTCCAGGTTTGATGTACCCATCCTGAACGATGCCCCCATCCTGTCTCTCTCTAGTGTGTGGTCTTCAACTGCTCCGATGGGTTGGATTACAAAGCCATGGGGAAATTCTTCAAGGGACTGGCCCAGGCTGGAGCGTGGGCCTGTTTTGATGAGTTCAACAGGATTGAGGTAACTGCTGCTAGGTTTGGACATATGGGAGCTTTTTCCAGACTCTTGACTCAATTAATTATGACGGGGTGTTGTCTCTTCCATGGCCCCATGCACAGAGAGATACTCAGTGGACTAAACAAAAACAACCCGAAAGGAGTCCAACTGACTATGTTAGAACCATCACCCCCACTTCCATCATGTTCATTCAGGTGCTTACTTACTGAATAGCTGCTGTGTACCAGGTCATCTGCCTATCTCTATGATACAAAGATGAGTAAGAGATGGTCTTGCTCTAAACTGTTGTGTTCTACTGTTGTTACTGTTGTTGAGTCAATTCGGACTCATAGCAACCCAGTGTGACAGAGTAGAACTGTCTTATAGAGCGTCACAGGGTAGACTATTTATGGGAGTATGTCCCCAGGTCTTTCCTCCCCTGGGGTTACTGGTAGGTTCAAATCACCAGCCTTCCAGGTTAGTAGCTGCTCACTTAACCATTGTGCTACCAGAACTTATTTCAATCTAATATACCCAAAGAAAGGCAACCACAAACTCATCTCCTTTAAGTCAGTTCTGACCTTCCAGTGGCCCTGTAGGACAAAGTAAAACTGCCGCACAGGGTTTCCAAGGGTGTAATCTTTATGTAAGCAGACTGCCACACCTTTTTCCCATGGAGCATGGTGGGTTTGAACCATTAACCTTTTGATTAGCAGCCAAGTGAGTGCTTAACCACTGCACTAGTATGGTGCCTTGCAATCTAGTATGTTGTTGTTGTTGGTAAGTGCTATCGAGTCAGTTCCGACTCACAGTGACAACGTATAGGGTTTCCAAGGCTTTAAATCTTCTTCTTGTTGTTGTTAAGTACCATGGAGTTGGTTCTGACTCATAGTAACCCTGCACAGGGTTTCCATGGCTGTAAATCTTTATGGGAGTAGAAAGCCTCATCTTTCTCCTGTGGAACAGCTGGTAGTTTTGAACTGCTGACCTTGAGGTTAGCAGCCCGATTCGTAACCGGAGCCGAAAACTCATCTTCCGCCGAGCAGCTAGTGAGTTCTAATCACAGACCGTGTGGTTCGCAGTCTAGTGCATATTGTATGGCACCACCATGCTCCCAATCTAGTATCTAGAAAAATAAAGCTTAAATGAAGCAAATCAGTATGATCAATGTCTATAGTGGTGGCACATGGGAGCTAATGAAGGTCAAGAAATTCAAACATGACATTGAATCAATAAACAACTTGAATACCTACTATAGTGTGGTGCTATAGGATAAGCACCGTACTGCTAACCGTAAAGCCAGTGGTTCAAACCCACCAGTGGCTCCTTGGAAACCCTATAAAGGGTCACTATGAGTTGGAACCAACTCACAGGCACTTAACAGCAACAACAGCATCAAGCACTATGCTCGGTGCTGAAACCCAGATAAATAAACCACTATGGAAAGTACATACACAAACCTGCTACAGAACTCACACTCTCATGCACATCAATTTTCTCTTATCTACCAAAACCTCAAATCATGCTCTATGTTTTAGATGTGAAGATCTGGTTCCCAAGGGGCTAGCTTCTCCCTTTGCTAAGTGAAAGGAACTTTGGCAGAATGGGAAAGCTGTCAGAAGCAGCAGTGGCCATCAGCCAGTTCTTTTCACCGCAGGTAGAAGTGCTGTCTGTGGTCGCACAACAGATTCTCAGCATTCAACAAGCCATCATCCGGAAGCTGAGGACGTTCATCTTTGAAGGCACTGAGCTTTCCCTGAACCCAACCTGCGCTGTCTTCATCACCATGAACCCTGGATATGCTGGCAGGGCCGAGCTCCCAGATAACCTCAAGGTAATCAAATGCTGGGGGTGCATTGTTGTTAAGTGTCGTCGTGTTGGTTTTGAATCATTGTGACCCTGTATAGGGTTTCCAAGGAGCACCTGGTGGGTTTGAACTACTGACCTGGTGGTTCACAGTCCAGTTCTGATCTTACAGCACCACACCAGGAGTGCACACCAGGGGGTACTTTGGGATATATGAATCACTGTAGTCTGCCAGGATCTCATAGAAAAGCCGAACCATAGGTTCAAGTGGCATTTTCAACTATGAGAATAGTGATGTTTGATGGTATTTAGATAATATCTGACCCCAGATCATAGCCACCTTCCCAACAAGGGATAGATATTTATTTATATTGTTGTTAGGTGCCATCGAGTCGGTACCGACTCATAGCAACCCTATGTACAACAGAACAAAACACTGCCCGGGCCTGGGCCAACCTTGCAATTATTGCCACACTTGAGCCCAGTGATGCCCAGTCTGTCTTTTTCTCTGACCCTCCACCTTACCAAACATGATAGCTTTCTCCAGCGACTGGTCCCTCCTGACAATGTGTCCGAAGTATGAGAGCCTAAATTCATACTTTGTACATTCCATGTTAATGCATGTTTACAGTTGTTTCTCTTCGTTTTGAGTTGTGCCCCATCAGCAAATGAAGGTCCCAAGGGCTTTTCTCCCACGGGCTTTACTCCATTTGCATCATCACGGTCAACTCTACTTTGAGGAGGCAGCTCTTCCCCAGTGTCGCATTTTGAGTGCCCCTCCAACATATATTTGTTGTTGTTAAGAGATGTGGAGTCGGTTCCTACTCATGGTAACCCAGTATAGGGTTTCCAAGAGTGTAAATCTTGTGTGAGTAGCAAGTCTCATCTTTCTCCCACAGAGTGACTGGTGGGCTTGGACCACTGACCTTGTGGTTTGCAGTCCAGTGCTTATCCTACAGAGCTGCTATGTTCCATGTACAGCACACCTAGGGACACTATTTCAGTTGCCTACGAGAGAGAACACTTGTAGGCAATTGAATCAGAACAGACTCAATGATAGTTAACAACCACCACCAGAGAGAAGCAAACTGGGCATGTCAGGAACTCTGGTGAACGCTCCCCGTGGGAACCATCTCATGAAGCTGGTTAAGTCTAAGTAGTTTCCAGACTCAACCAGCTAGAGAGAGAGACAGCAAGAAAGCACATTTGTCCCCACTATCTATTGCCTTGCAGAAGAATGAAAGTGCTTCTGCAGGAGAAGAGAGAGAAAACCCATCTTCAAGGGAGCATGTCCTGTGTGCCCTTAACATAGTGGTCTCATGGACAGGAAATAAGATGAGGTGTCTTCTTATGGCCTCGGCTGCATGGAAAGACCAACCAGAGGGAGATGTCCAGGCCTACTCCCTTAGTGATTTCATTCTAATTTATTGCTCCAGCTCTCTGAGGGGAAGAGACCAGAGAGACCCAACCATACCCTCATCTACTGACTTGGTGGTGGTGGTTATGTGCCATGGAGTTGATTCCAACTCATAGCGACCCTGTATAGGGTTTCTAAGGCTATAAAAATTTTTTTTAAGTTTTTATTGTGAATTATGTGTTAGTTTACATGGGTGAACATTATCTTTACATCCATCCTATCGTATTTTGTTTCATTGCAATGATCACAATCCCCTCCATGCATCATCAGACAACCAAAGGGTACACCCCACATGCCTGCCCCCTGGCTACTAGCACACAACCCCTCTCCCTCCCTGAGTCCAGAGTCCCCAGCTGCTCCTTCTGTCCAGGTCATCATCTCTGCCTCCATCCCTAGTGTCACTGCTTCCCCAGACAGGGTCTCGCACTTCGCTTTTCTCCCTTGATGGTTCCAGGGATCTCCCCTCCTGGACTGCAAAATCAGCCACTCCCCTCCTTTTGTTACCAAACATTTACATTTACCTTTCCAACATTCACTGTCATACCTGATAGCAATCATTCCCTATTGAACCACAGGAGTCCTTTCCCCCTCACCTTTTATCAACCCCATCCAGACAGGTTGGAAGCAATTCAGTGGCGATTCTACCTTTCCTTGTATCTTCTGGAGCTAGGTTCCCTTTTGCAAGCTTGTAAGCCAGTCACTTCTTCCCTTTGTAGTCCCATTATTTGGGGTAGCCAATGTCTAAGTTCCCCCTCCCTATAGACCCTGTGTACCAAGGGGGTGGGAATGATCTTCACTGTAGAGATTTGTCCACTCCTTTGTCATACTGCATCCACAAGCATAGGTTAAGTTCATCCACTTGCAGTGGGTTACTCCTTTTTTTTCCTCTTCTTTCTTCCTCTAGTTATGTTCTGATCATCCAGCCATTGATGCCAGGTCAAATGGGTACTATCTACAAGTGTGGGTGTTCTTGTGCAGCTCCCCTCACTTCATATCAACTGGGTGCTTCACACTCCATTCTAGTCCTCTGGGGCCATGTCCCTGCCCCTGGGCCCAGGAGTTCCCTAGGTCTCATCATACTGCTGGTTAACCAGGTCTCAATCCAGGTTAACAGGAGTCTATTGAATGTGGTCAGACTTAGTTCACAACTTCATTGCTGTTTTTCCCCCACATCCCCTTATTGGTGACCAACGTGGTCAGCAGCAGGACCTTATGCCTACTAGTGTTTTCCATTTGCGTTTCAGTCTTGGAAGGGGGTTTGCCTTGAGGGGACCTGACCACTTGCCTTTATAGCTCCCTGGGGAACAACTTGCTTGTTCTTGTGGTAGTCAATTGGACTGCTGTTATTGTTTTTGATTTTTTCTGCTGGTCTTACTTTCAAGAAATATCTTCTGTTCTTCTAGCTGCTTCAGACTGGTCTGTGTGTCCTTTCAAGTGGAAATGTCCCACCTCAGAAGATTCTGGGAGGGAATCAGGATTCTACCTATGGTCTTGTGCAATGCAAAGGCTTTGCAGGCAGCCTCCTTTACTGGGCAAGTTCTAGCCCCATTTTAGGTATTCCAATCAGTTATAAGCTATAGATGGACTTACAAGCTTTCTCTGGTGATGTTTCTGGCTATTCCTCTCTCTCCCCCTTCAAGTGTCTATTTTACAATAGTAGGCAAGGGAAACCAAGATTCAAAAGACAGCCAAAAACAAAAAATAAAACAAAAAAGACAGCCAAGCATCTTAACATCAATTCCCCACTTTTACCCATTCACACCATGCCTCAATCTTTGTATCCACGAGCCCTGTTGTTCCACGGTTGTGCTTACATCATTATTTACCTCTGTCCTATTTAGCCCATATAAACCTGCCTAGCTATTCTCCCATCTGCCTTATTTTTACTTTCCCCTTCTACTGTATGCACCCCCCACTAGGACCCAAACTATACTGTGCCTATTTCCTACCCTGTGCTCTACCTTCCCCTTTCTCCCCCTCACCTCACCCCCATACACCTTGGTAACCAACAAAAAAATACAAATAATTTAAAAAATAAAAGATAAAATTTCCCCCCTTTTAGTGAGGGTGCTTTTTCTTATTCTTTTACAATAATGGTCCTATGCCATATTTCTCCTTTTGTGACTGACTGATTTCACTCAGCATAATGTCCTCAAGTTTCATCCATGTTATGTGGTCGCCTGCTGCTTCCTTGATATTCTTCAAGGTAACATAATATTCCATTGTGTGTATATACCACAATTTGTTTATCCATTCTTCCATTGATGAGCACTTAGGCTGTCTCCATCTTTTTGCTATTGTAAATAGTGCTGCTATGAACATTGGTGTGAATATATCTACTTGTGTTATGGCTCGTATTTCTTGTGGATAAATTACCAAGTAGAGGAATTGCTGGATCATAAGGTATCTCTATTTACAACCGTCTGAGGAAGCACCATATTGATTTCCAGAGTGGTTGGACCATTTTGCAATCCCACCAGCAATGTAGGAGGGTCCCAGTCTCTCTACATCCTCACCAACATTTATTGTCCTCTACTTTTTATATCTTTGCTATTATTGTTGGTGTGAGATGATAGCTTATTGCTGTTTTGATTTGCATCTCTCTAATGGCTAGTGATAGTGAACATTTCTTCATATGTTTGTTGGCTGCCTGGATCTCTTCCTTGGTGTAGTGTCTATTCATGTCCTGTGCCCATTTTGTAATTGGGTTATTTGTCCTTTTCTTGTAGAAGTGTTGTAGATTCCTGTATATTTTATAAATGGGGCCCTTGTCTGATGTGTCGTTGCAAAAAATTTTTTCCCATTCTGTAGCATCCTTTTTTACTCTTTTGATAAAGTCTTTTGATGCAGTCTTTTGATGCACATAAGTTTTTAATTTTTAGTATGTCCCATTGATCTATTTTGTCTTCTTTTGTTTGTGTAAGTTTCAAAATGTTTGATAGTCTGTGTTTCGTAGTAAGTCTCTCACATTTGTCTCTATTTTTTCATTGATGGCCTTTGTAATTCTGGGATTCACATTTGGGTCTTTAATCCATGCTGAATTGGTTTTTGTGTAAAGCATGAGGTAAAGGTCTTGTTTCAGTCTTTTGCATATCACTTTCCAATTCTGCCAGCACCATCTGTTGAAGAGACCATTTCCTCCCCATGCAATATACTTAGGTACTTTGTCGAAAATCAGTTGGCTGTATATGGATGGGTTAATTTCTGGAATCTCAATTCTGTTCCATTGATCAATGTATTTTCCTTATACCAGTACCAGGCTGTTTTGACCACTGTAGCCATGTAATAAATTTTGAAATCAGGGAGTGAGGGGCTTTGCACTTGTTCTTCTTAAGCAGTGCTTTGTTTATCCTGGATCTCTTTCCTTTCCATATAAAGTTTGTAATTGTTTTTTCCATCTCTTTGAAGAATGTTGTTGGAATCTGGAATGGGATTATATTATATGTGTAAATTGCTTTGGGCAGTATTGACGTTTTTACAAAGTTAAGTCTTCTTATCCAGGAGCATGGTATATTCTTCCATTTTAGTAGGTCTCTTGGTTTCTTGTAGTAGTGTTTTGTAGTTTTCTTTGTATAGGTCCTTTGTTTCTCTGGTTACATTTATTACTAGATATTTCATCCTTTGGGTGGCTATTTTAAGTGGTACTGTTTTCCTGATGTCCTTTTTAGTGCTGTTGTTATTAGTATAAAGGAATCAACCTGATTTTTGGATGTTGATTTTATACCTGCCACTTTGCTGAATCCTCCAATGACGTCTAGTAGCTTTTTTACTGAGTCTTTGGGGTTTTCTATACATAGAATCATATCTTCTGAAAATAGAGTTTTACTTCCTGTTTGCCAATTCAGATGCTCTTGATTTCCCTTTCTTGCCGTATAGCTCTGGCTAAGACTTCTAGCACAATATTGAATACGAATGGTGACAATCTTTGTTTGGTTCCTGTTCACAGAAGGAAGGCTTTCAGTTTCTCTCCATTGAGAGTAAAGTAGGCTGTTGATTTTGTATGTATGCTCTTGATTATGTTGAGGAATTTTCCTTCGATTCCTACTTTGTTGAGTGTTTTTATCAGGAATGGATGCTGGATTTTGTCAAATGCCTTTTCTGCATCAATCGATATGATCATGTGGTTCTTTTCCTTTTTCATGTTTATATGGTGGATTACATTGATTGTTTTTCTGATGTTGAACCATGCATCATTGATATGAATCCCACTTGGTCATGATGTATTATTTTTTTTGATGTACTGCTGGATTCTGTTGGCTAGGATTTTGTTGAGAATTTTTTGCATCTATGTTCATGAGGGATATTGATCTATAATTTTCTTTCTTAGTGACATCCTTCCCTTGTTTTGGTATGAGGGTTATGCTTGCTTCATAAAATGTATTAGGAAATTTTCCATCCTCTTCTATATACTGGAATAATTTGAGTAGAATTGGTGACAACTTTTCCCTGAATGTCTGGTAGAAGTTACCAGTGAAGCCATCTGGACCTGGACTTCTTTTGCTTGGGAGTATTTTGATGACCTGATCAATTTCTTCTATTGTTAGTGGGTCTGTTCAAATCTTCTACTTCACTCTGTGTGAGTTTAGGTAGGTCTTGTTTTTCTAAAAATTTATCCATCTCTTCTAAGTTCTCAAATTTGTTGGAGTACAACTCTTCATAGTATTCTGTTTTTTTTCCTTTTGATTTCCTTTGGTTCCGTTGTGACATTGTCCGTGTGGTTTCTAATGCATGTTATTTGTGTCTTCTCCCTCTTTTCTTTTGTTAGGTGTGCCAATGGTTTGTCAATTTTATTAATCCTTTCAAAGAACCAGCTTCTTGTCCTGTTGATTCTTTCTATAGTTTTTCTGTTTTCTATCTAATTTATTTCTGCTCTGATCTTTATTATATATTTTCTTTTGGTGACTGTAGGTTCCCTCTGTTGGTCTGTTTCTAGTTGCTGGAGTTGCTGTGTTAATGTGTTAATTTTGATTCTTTCTTCTTTTTGAATGTGTGCATTTATCACAATAAATTGTCCTCTCAGCACTGCTTTCTCCGTGTCCCAAAGATTTTGGTAGGTTGTGTTTTCATTCTCGTTTGTTTCTAGGAACTTTCCGAATTCATGTTTAATTTCTTCTATTATCCAGTCACTCTTTGTTGTTGTTGTTGTTGTTAAGTGCCATCGAGTCGGTTCCGACCCATAGCGACCCTGTACAGGGTTTCCGAGGGTGTAAATCTTTACGGGAGTAGAAAGCCTCATCTTTCTCCCGCGGAGCAGCTGGTAGTTTCGAACCGCTGACCTTAAGGTTTGCAGCCCGATTCGTAACCACTACGCTACCAGAGCTCCTTAGAAGGGTATTATTCAGTTTTCATGTATTAAACTTTTATTACCTTGGTCTTCTTATTGTTAATTTCTAATTTTATAGCACTGTGGTCTGAAAAGATGCTTTGTAGTATTTTGATGTTTGTAAGTTTATGGAGGCTTGCTTTGTGACCACTTCTCCTTCTCTCTGGGAATGGAAGAGTCAGGTTGATCCTTAAGTGTGACTCCTCTACTTTAGGTCAATATTAACCAGTAAATGTAGAAGTCAAATTTGAACCCATTTCCTCATTTATGCCCCCAGCCTGCACCTCTCAGAGCCAACAACCATGTTTGATCTGCACAAGCAACTTTCATGAGACAGTGTAGCAGAGTAGAAAGCACCCTAGGGATTGACATCTGAAAGCCTGAGTTCTAGTCCTGGCTCTGCCTCTAACTGCATGATGTGGGCAAGTCACTTCAGGTATCTGGGGTCACATCTCCTCTAAGATCTCAAATAATAACAACGAAGGTTGATGCTTACTGAACATTTATCATTTTCCTAAAGACTTCACTTAGATTATATCATTTATTCTCAAGTCTACGAAGAGGGTAAAGTTATTAACACATTTTGAGAGGAAAGACTGAGATCTAGAAGATTCAAATTGTCCCTCTAGCAGTCACTTATTTAACTTACCCACAAATGGCAGATGGCAGAATGAGAACTCAAAAGCAGGATTTGTCTGACTTCAAGATTCTTCCAATATATGTTGGGTCCTGCATTCCTAAGTGATTTCTACTGTCCATATTGAAGCATGGGAAGCTCTAATGGTTGAATGATGAGATGTGTTATTAGTGTTATTATTTATTAGTTTGATGTAGTCTTCCCAAAGATGTGTGTGTGTGTTTATGTATATATATACACAAGGAGCTCCGGTAGCATAGTGGTCTTCATTTGGCATAGGAGAATAAAGTGTTATTGTTGTTGTTGTGAAGTGCCGTTGAGTCGATTCCACTCATAGTGACCCTGTATAGGGTTTCCAAGGAATAGCTGGTGAGTTTGAACCATTGGGATACCCGAATTTAGGGCTTTCCACACAGGGTCCCAGAGTCCTGGTGTCACTGTGGGTTAATGCACTGGACTGCAAAGTCACTTTGAAATGCAAGGTCAGCAGTTCAAGCTCACCAGCTGCTCCTTAGAAACCTTATACAGGGCCGCTATGGGTCAGAAGTGACTCAACAGCATTCAACAACAACATGGGCCCACTATGATAATTCACACCTGGACAGGGTTAGTGGGGAGATTAGTTGAACAGTGCATCCATCCAGTGAAGATGGCCCTTCACATTAACTTGTTCTGCAGCCCTCCTTTTGATTGTCATGGATGTGTTCTGAATGCTCATGTTGTTTCTCACTGCCTGTTCCGATGAGCTTTCCCCCATATTCATAGTACTTGTCCGGGTTCTGACTAACTGGGTGTCTCTTTTCCAGGCCTTGTTCAGGACAGTGGCCATGATGGTACCAGATTATGCCCTGATTGGAGAAATCTCCCTCTACTCTATGGGCTTTCTGGACTCCAGAAGGTAGATGCTGGATCTTATGCTTTCTAGTCCATTATGAAAGGCTCTTAAAATAAAAATTTAATCTGGTAGATTCAAGATGAGTTACCCATTGGGAAGAAAGAAACAGATTTGAGAAACTTGCTTCTGCTCCCCAGCTGAGATCTGTAAGCGTATGGTGCTGGCCTTGATCCTAACCCCATCCCTACCTGAGAATTGTCCAGGTTCCCAAGAGACCCCTTGGTTTACATTTAGAAAGTCACCAAATGTTTCCTGCCCACCCCTCACTCTAACATACATTGCTAAATGGCTTAAGGTGAGACAGTGTAAATTATTCTAAGATTGAAGAGGAAAATTTAGTATAGTTTATGATCAACATTGTTATCAAGTTAATATTTATTGCCTAAGTTATCTCTAATTCAAGTGTTAACCCGTTTTCAAACACATCCACATCAGCCAACACATGCACCAAGAGTAATTGATATTATATTAATATTATTTGTAAAGTGACTTATAATGATCTATTCCAAATTTTATAGCCATTGTCTAGGCCACAATCAATTGATTTTTTTCTGTCAAAATAGATGTCTCTATAGATGCCTTTGTGTTGTAATACGTGTAAGGGGTGCAATGAACGTGTCACCCTTCCTTGGCCAAGAGACTGCCTTAGATTGTCAGTGTTCTGTAGGAGGCCTGGATTACATTGGTTTGCTCATCCAATTTATTTATTCTATTGGGAAGCACTTATCAAGCGTCCACCTGATACCAACCCCTGTGCTAGGGGGCTGGTGAGCAACATAGACCCTTTGCTTTTACAGTAATTCAGTTTTGTAAACAGGATCCCCATCATGGAAGTATGCAGATATATATTAGTGAGGGTAACCCTAACCCCCAAATCCAATGACTTACAGGAGAATTTGGTTTTCACTGGCTGGAAATCCAAAATGAGTGTGGTCAGGGGCAGTTCTTGTCCAAGGGATGATTACTTGCATCTTGTGGCTACAATACATGAGCACGGGAGGAGGGACTTTTATGAGCTATCCCTAAAGTGGCATACTTCCCTTCCATTCACATCCATTGGCCAGAACACAGTGGGATGGCGACACTTAACTGCATGGGAGACTGGGAAATGTGGTCCACTTGTGTGCCAAGAAGAATATGAAACAGTAGTGCACTAATATACATATGTGTGTAGAGTATTAAATTTTGAATAGCTTTTCTTAAAGAAGCCAAAATATTGCATTATTCCAGGAATTAAAAAAAAACAACAAGTTCACTATAGTCCTACTCACCACGGATTAGCAATCTTATGTGTTCTTAAACTGTGTGTGTGTGTGTGTGTGTGTGTGTGTGT